AAAAAAAAAAAAAAAAAAAAAAAAAAAAACACTTAATAGACACCTATTATGTGCCGTGTACACATTCTCTGTGGTCAGAAGGACTGTAGCCTCCTAACGAACCGGTTTCTGCCCACTCCTGGAGGAAGATTCATTCTCACACCACAGGGATGAGAAAGAGCCTCTTCCCATCCCTGCCCATGTCCCCTGCCTGTGTGGTGAGATGCTGCCCAGTAAGAGACTCTGCCTCCTGAACCCTCATGTGACCAATTGGCATGGCTTTTTGCCAACCTGGGTTCTAAAAAATTTGAGCCTGGGACAAATGTTCACAGATCTTTACCAGACTGTGAGACTACTGACAGCAGGAATCTATTGAGTGCATCTTTGCATTTCCAGCCCCAGCTCAGGTCTGGCACGTAGCAGGTGCTCAGTAAATGAATGAATGGATGCATGCATACGTGGATGGATGGATGGTGGGTGGATGGGGGATGGATGGATGGCAGATGGATGTATGTATGGGTGGGTGGATGGTGGGTGGATGGATGGGTAGATGGATGGGTGGGTGGATGGTGGGTGGATGGATGGGTAGATGGATGGGTCGGTGGATGGTGAATGGATGGGTGGGTGGGGGGATGGGTAGGTGGATGGCTGATGGAAGAATGGATAGACAGGTGGATGGTGGACAGGTCAGGTAGTTATTTTTTTATGGCCTCCTGCTAGCCTGTGTTTCCTACAAGGCAGAGGCTGTGTCTTGTTCATCTCTGAGTCCTCAGCCCTTGGCCAATAGTGAGTACTCTGCGGATTTCTATTGAGCATGCACAGTAGGTTGACATGGACATAGCCTAGGACAGGTGGCACTCAGCACAGTGAATGGGGCTCCAGTGGTGGGCAGCACTGGAGTGAATGGGTGGTTGGTGAATTTCCCTCGTTGGTGAGCATTTCAGACTTGTTAACCCTGAGCATCTGTCCTTGCCCTGTTGTTACTGGCTCTTGAGTGCTGAGAGTGGAGGTGCTGCATAAATCCAAGGCAGAGTTGGTGCACCGTAATATGGGAACAGCCAGATGAGCATGTCCAAGAGGGTAATAGGGGGTTTCTACCTCTGGCCAGCCCCGTATGTGGTGAACATGATCCTCACATACATTCTTGGGAAGTGGAGCCTATGAGAGGCAGGGGAGAACTTGGGACAGAGGGGCAGGGAAGAAGCAGGTCCCAGCTGAGACCACCCGACTGGATGGCAGGGCAGCTGAGACACCGACTCTCCCCACCCACTGTTCCTTGGTGGCATCATTTCCATGTACTGTACTATGCACAGCCAGAAAGGCGACCCGTGTGATGAAGGGACGTCGGTTTGGGAATGGCAGGACTTGCATTGCAGATCTTTGGTCTGTTCACTGTATGACCTTGGATATGTGTTTTCACCTCTCTGGGCCTTGGTTTCCTCATCTGTAAAATGGGTGTAACCAAACCACTTGGGGTTATTCTGCACTAAGTGAGCTGGGGCAACCAGAGCCCCTGAGATGTTGCCTTCACCTGAGTACCTGCCACTAAACTAGCTATTGAATGGTCCAGGCATGGGCTGTGTGTGGTACAGACTCCAAGGACCTGCCCCTGTCCCCAGGAGGCAAGCTCTTCTCCCTCCCTCTTTGTTTCTCTCTCTCCCCCGGTCAAGGAGGAGCTGTCTGGGAGGGTAGAAGGTGACTCCAGCCCACAGGGCAGGGAGAGGGGAGCTGAGTCAGTAGGGGAGGGGCTCTGGTGGGTAGAGACAGAGCAGGAGCATGGCCACCGGCCTCAGCCACTCTGTCTCATTTATCTCCGTCCCCGCAGCCTGGGGCGGGCCTGGCACATAATAGGTCCCACTTAGCTCTTGGAGACGTCTGTGGAACTTGTCCAGGTGGCAGGATTGCCCCTCCCCCATTTCCATCACTGCTTCTCTAAAACCGGGACCACCTGCTACTTGAAGGCAGGGTCACCAGGGCACAGGCCTCTGGATCGGTGGCTGGTGGCACTGGGAGGAGGATTGGCCACACACAGGGCAGTGTGCAGGGTCTGAGAAGATCATGAGTTTTGGGGTCAGGCAGACCTGGGCAGGAGCCTTGGGTAAGTCTCAGATCCTCCTGGCCTCGGTGGGTCACCTGCAACATGCCAGTGGGGTGCTTGCCTGGCAACACATGGCCCAAGCCAGCCTGGTGCAAGCTGTCGAGTGAGGTGGTGGGAGGTGGCTCCTTTCACCAGAGCCTTTGCCCCATGGAAGGACTCAGGCAAGTCCCTGGGGGAGCACTTGGGCAGGGTCAATGTGGGGAGTGGGATCTTCCTGAGAGCACATGATTGGTGGTGAGGCCAGTGAGCAATGGGATGAAGGGCCCAGGCAATGGCTTGACTTGGATGCCCACCAGAGTCCCAGTCAGCCACTTATAGCTGTGTGACTTCAGGCAAGTCACTTTGCTCCTCGAGCCTCAGTTTCCTCATTTGCAAAATTAGGGTGGTGGTCCCAGGCCTGCCTGCTCCCTGAGATCATTTCAGTGATCAAAACAACAAAAAAACCCAACAGCAACACGACGTGAGAGTCTTTTGTGAAGCAGAGGGTCTTCTATAAACAGTGCTAGGAAGGGCAGAGGGCCACCCCCGACCCCCTGGGCTCCCTCAAAGAAGAAGCAGGGGCTATGTCTTCCCCCAGGGTCAGGGGACTCTCATGTGTCCTCTGGACCACAGAGCAAGAGTGGCCTCAGATGTGGGGGGGGAGCTGAGGTGGAAGGGCATGGTGACTCCTTCCTGACACCGACCGGGGCTGTTCTCTTCCAGGGCTGTGTCCGGGGTGGATGCTGAACCAGACTTGGTCCACGTGGAAGCCCAGGACCTCAGTGGAGGTAAGCTGGGGGTGCAGCCACCAGGTGTCCCTGCATCTTCTTGCCCACCTCCAGGCTCAGCGGTGACCGTGTTCAGTCCCTCTTCCTCCATGCGCACCCTGCACAGCCGACCTTGCTGTATTTTGTATGATGTGGCATAATTTTAAATGCGCTTGTTTTCCAGCTGGGGATAAATTGAAGTCAAGGAGCTCCGCTCCAGTGGAAAAGTCTATTAAGAGGGCAATTTGTTCTGGCCCCTGAGCACTGAGTGTTTCCCGCTCTCCCAGCCCCCACCCCAGCGCTTGCTGACGGCTGAGGAGGGGTGGGGCCTGTGTGGCTCCTCCAGTGGGGCAGGCGCTTGGCCACCCCAATCTAGCTGGCTTCATGCCATGGAGAGCCCACGGGCCTCACGTGCCATGAGGCAGGTCCTCGGTGCTCCTGAGGAAGGAATTGGCGGCAGAACCATGGAATGTTCTGGAGCATCAGAGCTGGAAGGACCCACAGATTGTACTTTCATTCCACAGACACTTGTAGTCCCCTGTGTACCATTCTGACCCTGCCAGGGACACAGAGATGAGCTGGACAAACCCCTGCCCCTGGCCTGGTGGGGAGACAGTACAGACTCAATCCTGTACAAGCAGTAGGACCCCGAGTGTAGTGGGGGAGGGGGAGGGAGGCTGTGACCAGGTGCCAGTCACTAGTCCAAACACATTTAAATACTGTGCCAGGTTCGTGCTCCTCCCGCTGGGACTCTCCTCAGGCGGTGACCTCCGCACACTGTCTTTGATGAGCAGGGGTGCTGAGGATGCAGGGCAGCAGAGCTCCTGTGCAGAGTGCACTCCCTGGGGACAGAGCAGTGCCAGGGAACATCAAGTCCTGGCTAAGAGCAGAAATGCTGGCATCTGCTCCTAGCCTGCCACTGGCCAACAGCATGACCCTGGGCAGTAACCTCCGTCCCCTCACCTGTAAAACAGAAATAATGACAACAAATGAGTCAATACCATGCAGTGCTCCACACCAGGTTGTCACACGTTGACACTGACACTGGGGGATGGCCATTTACCATTTCCCAATCCTTAGCTCTTAGCCAGGTCCTGCCACACTGTGGGCAGGTGCGGTAGCTGGTATTGTCTCCATTTTAATAACCAGGAGAACAAAGTCCAGAGAGGGTCTAGATTTGTCTGAGGTCACAGGGTCACAGGAGGGTACACCCCAGCTCTGCCATCCTCTCCTCACACCCCCTGAGGCCTTCACCAAATCCCAAAATATCCCAGGCCTTTCACAGGGTGGCATAGCAGTACTGGATGCAGTTGAGGGTGGTTGTCTTTCATGACATCCCAGCCTCTCACCAGGAGGAAGGAAAGGCCCAAATCCTAAATCGAGGGCATCCATCTTGACCACAGAAATCGGCAAGTGCTGTAAGTCAGGGCACAGTGACAGCCCAGCCATGGTGGAAAGAGTGAAAGAGTGAAGAAGCGAATGAGTGACACAGCAAAGAGGACTGGGTGAGTGAATGAGTGAGTGACTGAGTGACTGAGTGACTGAGTGTGTGACTGAGTGAGTGGGTGAAGGGGTGAGTGAGTGAGTGAGTGAATGAGTGAATGAGTGAGTGAGTGAGTGAATGAGTGAGTGAGTGAGTGAATGAGTGAATGAGTGAGTGAGTGAATGAGTGAACAAATGAGTGAGTGAATGAGTGAATGAGTGAGTGAGTGAATGAGTGAACAAATGAGTGAGTGAATGAGTGAATGAATGAGTGAACGAATGAGTGAGTGAGTGAATGAGTGGGTGAGTGAGTGAGTGAGTGAGTGAGTGAATGAGTGGGTGAGTGAGTGAGTGAGTGAATGAGTGAATGAGTGAATGAGTGAGTGAGTGAGTGAGTGAATGAGTGAATGAGTGAGTGAGTGAGTGAGTGAATGAGTGAATGAGTGAGTGAGTGAGTGAGTGAATGAGTGAATGAGTGAGTGAGTGAGTGAGTGAATGAGTGAATGAGTGAGTGAGTGAGTGAGTGAATGAGTGAATGAGTGAGTGAGTGAGTGAGTGAATGAGTGAATGAGTGAGTGAGTGAGTGAGTGAATGAGTGAATGAGTGAGTGAGTGAGTGAGTGAATGAGTGAATGAGTGAGTGAGTGAGTGAGTGAATGAGTGAATGAGTGAGTGAGTGAGTGAGTGAATGAGTGAATGAGTGAGTGAGTGAGTGAGTGAATGAGTGAATGAGTGAGTGAGTGAGTGAGTGAATGAGTGAATGAGTGAGTGAGTGAGTGAGTGAATGAGTGAATGAGTGAGTGAGTGAGTGAGTGAATGAGTGAATGAGTGAGTGAGTGAGTGAGTGAATGAGTGAATGAGTGAGTGAGTGAGTGAGTGAATGAGTGAATGAGTGAGTGAGTGAGTGAGTGAATGAGTGAATGAGTGAGTGAGTGAGTGAGTGAATGAGTGAATGAGTGAGTGAGTGAGTGAGTGAATGAGTGAATGAGTGAGTGAGTGAGTGAGTGAATGAGTGAATGAGTGAATGAGTGAGTGAGTGAGTGAGTGAGGGAATGAGTGAGTGAGTGAATGAATGAGTGAGTGAATGAGTGAATGAGTGAGTGAGTGAATGAGTGAACAAATGAGTGAGTGA